TTAGTTTAGTTGCCTTAGTTTAGTCTAGTTTAGTTCTATATTTAGTTCCATGTTTAGTCTTAGTTGCTTCAGTTTAGTCTAATTTAGTTCTGTGTTTAGTTTAGTTGCCTTAGTTTAGTCTAGTTTAGTTCTATATTTAGTTCCATGTTTAGTCTTAGTTGCTTCAGTTTAGTCTAATTTAGTTCTGTGTTTAGTTTAGTTGCCTTAGTTTAGTCTAGTTTAGTTCTATATTTAGTTCCATGTTTAGTCTTAGTTGCTTCAGTTTAGTCTAATTTAGTTCTGTGTTTAGTTTAGTTGCCTTAGTTTAGTCTAGTTTAGTTCTATATTTAGTTCCATGTTTAGTCTTAGTTGCTTCAGTTTAGTCTAATTTAGTTCTGTGTTTAGTTTAGTTGCCTTAGTTTAGTCTAGTTTAGTTCTATATTTAGTTCCATGTTTAGTTTTAGTTGCTTTAGTTAAGTCTAGTTTAGTTGCTTCAGTTTAGTCTAGTTTAGTTCTGTGTTTAGTTTAGTTGCCTTAGTTTAGTCTAGTTTAGTTCTATATTTAGTTCCATGTTTAGTTTTAGTTGCTTTAGTTAAGTCTAGTTTAGTTGCTTCAGTTTAGTCTAGTTTAGTTCTGTGTTTAGTTTAGTTGCCTTAGTTTAGTCTAGTTTAGTTCTATATTTAGTTCCATGTTTAGTTTTAGTTGCTTTAGTTAAGTCTAGTTTAGTTTCTTTAGTTTAGTCCAGTTTAGTTCTATATTTAGTTCTCTGTTTAGTTTAGTTGCCTTAGTTTAGTCTAGTTTAGTTCTATATTTAGTTCTCTGTTCAGTTTAGTTTCTTCAGTTTAGTCTTGTTTAGGTTTATGTTTAGTGTAGCTCTAGTTTAGTTCTAGTTCAGTTTAGTTTCTTCAGTTTAGTCTTGTTTAGGTTTATGTTTAGTGTAGCTCTCTAACTACCGGTTTATTTTGGGCAACAAAGAACGTTTATTAAGTTTTTTTTTAAATAAAGTCTGTTTATCACAGTAGACGTCCCCACGTGGGTCAGTACTCTCTGTTTTTGTTGAGTTTGACCATCGAGCATAAAATTGTTGCTTTACAGTGAGCAAATATTTCAGTCAAATGTGTATAGTCTACAGCTGATGTGGTGCAAAATGAAGAGAAAATGGGCGTTCATATGAGGCAAACGTGTAGTGCAAGTTAATATCGAGTGCTAGAACTCCGCAGTTGAATTAGCGTGGTGGCAGCCAGGCCATCTCTGGTCTAGTTAATATCCTACGTGCAAGGCAACGCAACTAACCGACTGCATAATAAATGCGTTGATTTCTCTTTGGATTAACGCGATATTTATGAAACGGTTTCGTAAACCTTTTGCATTGAAACATTTACATGTGAAGCCAATATTGCTTTGAGTTTAATATTTTAGTGATCGTATAATGTAGGCATAATCACAGTTCTATTGTGATGTATTCAGTGAAATGAGGCAGACGTTAACTATTCTTGCTGGTTGTGGAAGCAGCGCTCCCATGAAATGTGACTAATTGTGGTTAGTTCCAGTTTGCTTTCTGGTGTTCCAAGCGCATATTTTTTCCCGTTTTACCATTGGGAAGGCCATTACCGCGCTAGATGTAAATGTTACAGTTTTCAAAACATACCAACAAAGCCATAATACCATCCAAAACTAATTTTTTAAGTATCGTGGCACCTGAAACTTTTCGCCTTTTCTGCATCATTTCTACTTTTTACCCGTGTTTATACGTCTGTAAACTCGCACAACCCATACATTCGTCGACACATTACCTTACTGCTGCCTGTGCAATTATTGTAGTTATGTGATATTGCATTTCCTTTTTCGTATGACTGACATCTTGCCCATGCTGCTAATTGGCTGTGTCACGGAGACGAATTTATATTGCATTCGCCAGAAGTAGGTGAACGCGTAGGTACTCCCCCCCCCTCTCACCTGCATTCGTATTGCTCGTCGTTTAACCACTCAGAGCTCCAACCCCCCCACAGGGAGTCATCCGCGTGTGTGCACTTAGAGAGAGAGAGAGAGAGAGAGAGAGAGAGAGAGAGAGAGAGAGAGAGAGAGAGAGAGAGAGAGAGAGAGCGAGAGGAGAGAGAGAGGAGAGAGAGAGAGAGAGAGAGCACGAAGAGAGAGAGAGAAGAGAGAGAGACGAAGAGATAGAGCAAAGAGAGCCAAGGAGAGAGGACGAGTGGGCCGAAGCCAGTTACACATCACGAAGAGAGAAGCCTCGACCACGCGAGGAAGACCGAAACGAGTCCCGGAAGAGAGAGAGAGGGCCTGGGGGGGGGGAAAGAGAGCGCCACAGGGAAACAATCCCGAGTGATAATCTCAGCGCCCACCACCCACTCCCACCCCCACCACGACCGCCGCCGACCTTCCCGCACCACACACCTACCAGCCCACGCCTACACCCACAACTCCCAGCGCACACACGCCCACTCACTCTATCCCACTCTTACCCGCACCAACAACAGTCACCACACGCCAGCCCCACTCACTCAACGCCCTAACTTTAGCACCCAACACAACTCGAACACGCCCCTCCTCACAGCACACTCAGCCCATCACAAACACCATAAAAAGCCAAACGCCCAGCCGACACCCCCCCTCTTCCTACTCTGAGCCACCCACACAGTCCTACCCCCAAGCCAACACCCTGCACCCCAAACCCCACGCCACACCTCCTCTTCCTACTTTCCTCACCAAACAGCTCGCACCCCAGGACACACCCTCACCCCAAACCCCAGCCCACACACCTCTTTCCTACCCTCCACACGTAACACAGTCCCACCCCAGCCAACACCTCACACCAAACCCAGCCACACCCCCTCATTTACTACTCATTCCACCAAACAACAGTTCTACCCCAGCGCCACATCCTCCACCCCAACCCCAGCCCAAACAAGCCCCCCGTCCTCCTCCTCCTCCTCCTCGCTACCTCCTACTCTCCCTCCACACCCGCCAGCCATCCATTCCCCAACCCCAGCACCTGGGTGGAGATAACGCGCCACTCACGACTACCCACCGCACAGCTCCAACGACCCCTCCTACCCTCACCTTACCCTCCCTTCCACACCACTCAAGACCCATTCCTCCTTCACCGACCAGGTGGTTGTGAAACGGGTCCTGTCGCGGTCGCCGCGTGGTTACTGGCTCGAGTCACTGGACGGACGCACGCACGGCAGACCCTCATCATCTACCATCGGAACACACGTTCACCGTCGAAAAGAATTCCGCTTCCGCAGCGTGATAGAAGGCGAATCAACAAAGACTGCTTTCGCCCTCACGTCTCACCCCGCTACCGCCGCCCCCCCCCGCCTCAACCTGTCCAATCACGAAGAATCACTACGCTCCATGCAGCACAGATGCAATGCATGGCGCAGGTGTTACCTGTGAGCTATACATGTATATATTTAATATAATATATAATTATATATTTATATACTATATCATATATATGATACTTTGCCTACGTGTTACTATATATATAACTATTCATCATATATTATCATATAATAGTATAGATATACTAATGCCTCAGACGTGTTCTCTGTGAGTATACATATATAATATATATAGTCTGCCCCTGCTGGTCCGGCTTTGTTGCCACGCTGGCTCAGGCGATCTAAGATTGCTCAACCGGTGTTTGTTCTGCTCGTTACGTATCACTTAGTTTTCTTTTTTGCCCGTCTGCGTAACGTCACGGGCTCCACGGGGACCCTCCCACACACTCACTCTGAGGGACACCGCCGGCAGCCATCCTCCTCACCCGCCTCACCTCAACAACTTCACTCAGCCCTCCTCGCTCACTCATACCCGTCACTCACACCACCCTGCTCCACCCACTTCATCAGCTAAATATTGAGCCATAGCGCACCGCATGCGAGAAAGAGACGATGACGAGAGAGAGAAGACAGAGAGAGAGAAGAGATGAGAGACGGGAAGATCCCCCCCCTCAGAAGAGCGCGCACAGAGAGAGAGAGAGAGAAGAAGAGAGAGAGCGAGAGAGAAAGAGAAGAGAGCAGATAGAGAAGAGAAAGCAGAGAGAGAAGAGAGAGAGAGAGAGAGAGAGAGGACGAGAGAGAGACCAGAGAGAGAGGAGCAGGAGACAGAGACAGAAGAACAGAGACAGAGAACCGAGAGACAGAGACAGAGACAGAGAACACAGAGACAGATGCGACAGAGCAGAGAGAGAGAGAGAGAGAGAGAGAGAAGGAGAGAGAGGAGGACAGAGTACAGGAGACAAGACACGTGGATGAGACCAAGACAAGAGACGAGAGACAGGAGACAAGAGAGAAGAGAGAGAGAGAGATGAGAGAGAGCAGAGAGAGAGACGAAGAGAGAAGAGAGAGCACCGACGAGAGAGAGCAAGCTCACTGAGAGACCAGAGATGAATTTATACCTACTCATTAGAGAATAGACTCGCTCGCTCAGGGCCACACACTCACTCCACCCCTCCTCACCTCATCCCCTCCCTCCAACACCACCGTCCCTACCCCCTCACACACACACCACCCAGCCCTCTCCCAGCTGACAGCCCGCCCACCCTGCTACGCGCGCCCCTGTGCTCCCGCTTCATGTTACTGACCCTAGCTTCGCCAGAAAGTGCCCGATACAATGCGCGCATCGCCAGCTACATGTCCCACTATACCCCACACATGAACACGCAGGCTTCCCCACTGGCCTCGCCGGTGTCGTCGAAGCTGCGAGCAGCTAATGACCGAAACGCGCACCACTAAGCACACCTCCAATCCCTTAAGCGGGCAGCTATGTACTCGCGTACAAGCGCATCTACATACTCCGAGTACGGTGTAGCGTGTAACTGGCCTATAGTAATACGCGGACCCTGGCTCCCCGCGTGAAAAGTGATTATACGTCGCGAAATCTACAGCCCGTCGTAATGGAAAAGGTTAATCACTAGGAACTGGCTCTCCGTGTCTGACCAGTAAGGAACTTGGAAATTAGTGGGGCCTGGCTAATTCCGATCGCAATTGAGTGGTAGGGAGGATTGCTCAACGCACGTCGTTTGATAGCAGTGGTTGATGTGGAGGCGCGGGCGGGGGGTATGCTGTTGCTTTGGGCATGTTCACACCTAGTTTTTAATTATCGGAGCTGACTCGTGATCAATTGTTCAGCTCTTCTAGGGGTAGACCCCTAAATATTAATGACCTCAGTGTTAATAAGTCCTCTTATGGTTAACTTTTGTTCTACGTCTATATATATGCACAATATTCATATGACATCAATATTTCCATACAGTTGACTATCTTACTTTGATGATCTATTGTGAAAGTCAGAGTTCGCAATTGTGTACTTGACGTAGAGAATCCGAAAGATTTGTTTTTTTTTCTAAGTATAGAGAAGGGGTACTGGACGGGCATCAAAACTTAGGATTGAAAAATGCATAAGCAGGGTAAAACCCGTCCATGGATAGTGGGGTATATTCTAAAGTATTAAAAAGAGCCTGGGGCGAACCCAAGAACCCGCTACAAACCCATTGTGAATGAAGGCGTTTAGCTTCACTAAAACCCCAAACAATAATTGGTAGTGTACTAGGCAAGCAAAGACGAGCACGCATCAAGATGTTGGAGCTGACTTAATCAGTGGTGTGCCTAATTCGCGCTATGGTGTGGCTTTGCGCATTTAACTGTAAATCTTAAACGTCCTAATGTCCACATAATAACAATGATAGAAAAGGGTGACAGATGCAACATGAAGTAGAGAGTCTACTACGAAATAATCGCAGCATGTTATCGTTCCGGGAAAGTCCCTGGTGCACGCAAAGCTGATGCTGTACACTCTGGCGGCTCATTGTCAACCCAGGATATATTGAATGATGTCCAACAGTTAATTGATTCAATGCTGATCAGATTCCAAATGATCGGACTGACTTACGTAACATCAATGCAATTTCCCATACAATCAGCGCCGCTCCATAAGCACGCGACGTGCTCGCATAGATTCGCGTGTCCTCAACAGTACACACACCATTTAAGGCCGTTTACAGCGAAACAGGGTAAATAGCAAAGTTTAATGTAGAGCTAGGTAACGTAACTACTGCGTTAAACACTTGTTTTCATAAATCAGACATCAAACGAAATCCAACGTATACCTTATTTGCGCCTAATGTCACGCGAAGTAGTCACACAAGACACACTAAGCACTATGGAGCAGCAAAGCCGGTAACCGAGCGCGCTACCAATAGATAGCGCAGCCCCGCATTATATTGGCCCCGGTCGCTCCACGCACGCCCAACTCAAGTAGAATGCACGCAATGCCACGAGCACGCAAATCAAAGTCAAAAGGTACATAGATGCGCGAAAAACACCTCTACTGCGCCACCAAAGCGAACGCACTCACGTAGCGCCTGCGGGGGGTGAGCATCCAGCTGCCCTCCATAGATCTGAGTCAGGAAATTAAAAAATAATATTGTCTAGAGGCTAGAAAAGGAAATTGTCGTAGCCACAGCAAGCTAAGCGCCACTGTAACATGTACGCAGCTGTTACACTACTTCACACACAGCACACCGCACACAGACACACGAGCACAAACCGCACCAGCATCAACAAATACCGACACCACACATCTCCTTCGATCTATCCACACATTTAACAAAATTTTGTGGGAACCCCAAGACCCCACCTGTTCTCAAACGAACCCGCCAGCTTTGAAACCTGCACCCGGCCCCACTCCGCGGCGGCCCCCCTCCTAGAAATTGCTCACAAGCACTCATCACACAACCTACGCCCATACACAGCACAGCACACACCACAACACCACAACACACACACACGCACACACGCCGAGCTGCACTGACCGCTCAGGTTGCGGCAGAGCTTATGGAAACCCATCCCTCTATGTACGTTACAGCAACTAACAACTAACCATTGCGCTTAACATAGAAATGCTTCAACGGACTCCGTCATCGTCACTCAACCACGGAGCGACGCGCCATTACAATGGCTCCATTGTAGGATAGCACGACACGTCGCCGCAAGTTTAACATGACAGGCGATAAGGGGCAAGTGCAAGTTGTTGGAATAATTTACAACAATTAAAGCTTTTGTGAAAGCCAGAAATTCGCAGTTTCGGCGCTCAAACTCTCGCGCGACAGCGCGCACAACGCCATTTAAACGCCAAGAATTGTCACCCGCGAGGCACAGCCATACGAATTTGCTCACAGAATCGATCTCACACCTAACGAAGATAAGGCATTCTAGAGGCTCTTGCCACGCTATACGGAAAGCTACGCCCACCTTCATAAACATAGCACCAAAGGGAGCGCTCATCTAAATACGAACATTCTCTTCCACATCGTACCGTGCACGGGCGGGCCACAGTATCAACGAACCATGTGTATAAGTTAATAAAACGCCCGAGCACAGCACCACAAAATATACAGACAACGCAAAGGCCTACTAACCGTTAAACGCCAACGCACGTACGCAACGCACTCCAACAAGTGCGCGGTGAGCTTCTTATATAAGCCACTTAATATGCGATGACCGCCACGCGCAGTCATACATGTTAAAGATTGACTACTGCGTACGACTCTAAGTAAAACGAAAACAGTTGAGCACCCTGTACTTGACTCCCCACACTCAGATCCTACGACCCGGTAAGGCCGCTAGATCACTTGTCCCGATGGGATTCGCGAGGCCGGCACAGTCGATACTGGAGAATTCTGGACTAAAGGCCTCTAAACGCCGGGTAGCTGGACGGCCGGGACCGGACGCTACCTGGCTTCAACTCGATTGTCAAGCGATCCAGTCCGTAGTAGGAGAATCCATTTGAGATACGTGCTGCGTTTAACTGAACATCGCCAAACACGCAGCGCCTTTAAGGGGTTTTAAGCCCTCAGCGTCGCCGGATACATAAGAACGCAATGACAACTCAGGAAAAACAGCCAGACAGGTGATCGATGGCAATATCACCTACATAAGTAGCATACGCGCCGCCGCGGGCGCGCTCTGTTTACTGCGTAAGTACTCTATAGCACAAGCCGCGTTATCGCACATCATAAAATCCCACGAGTAAGGTCCCCGCACACGAACACCCAGCACCACGCAACAGCGGACCACACACCACACACCCCACCTTACACTTCACTCAAACACGCAACGACGCACGTGAACGCACAACGCAAAACACCACCGCCACGCACAGCACGCCAATGCACGAACATACGCACACCACACCCGTTACGCAACACACTTTCTTGTCGACAGTTCCCACGCGCATGTATAAGACCACATTGGCACTCTCGAACAATTCTAAACACCCGACGATACGGATCAACGATATCACACAAGCAACACGTAATGTCAAATCTACACTTACGGATCAACAAAGGCTGTGTGTCGAGATGACGTCAGAATGTGAACCTGTATGCATGTAGTCCCCCGCAACTCAAACCGCGAAAATACTGAGAGTAATCACAATACCCTCAATACACCGCAAGAAACGACGTTTAACTTAGGTTGTCATTCAGATCGCGAGTACGAAAACCGTACATGACGACCACACCGACCACCCGGCCTGGCAATGCCTGTGGTTAGCGAGTTTGTCTGACACGACATACCGTACTAGAGTGGCGCGTGTACGCCGCGGACAATCGCCGGTAAAGGCCTCTAACAAATAACTACTTGGCATACGCAATATTTTTCGGGCCCACGTACAGCACATTTTGCGGCGAAGCCAGCACCATTGACCGTACGTCAAGTCGCAATGTCGTTATTCGTCCACCGATTCCAGAAGAAACCGGCTGTTAAAGCTTGAGCGTATCGGAACCGTATTAGCAGGGAAATTCGCGAAACATAAACGCACTCAGCATTCCCAGGCGAAATATACACAAACGCTCAGCATATAGCGTTTGGTATAACGATAATACCGACATGCTCAATCCAATAAAAAGACCTCACCGGAAAGAACGAACTGACACCATGAAAGAAATCATCTAATAAAGTTTCCCCAATCCTCTCCAAAATCCTACGCTGGATCCAACACCACCTCAGAACATCTATCCTAACACATATCCCAAGAGCTATTTGTATGTGTATGGTAAAGCTAATACTAAGACGGAATACAAGAAGTGTGTAAACATCCTTACAGGGCTCTATAATATATTTGAGAGAGATTATACTGTAGAACTAGATATATATATACGATCGATAGATATTATTAGTATAAATATGGTATATATATATATATATATAATCTATTGACACCCATCGAAATAATTTTATTACGCCGTGAATACTTTTTTATGATTCGCTTGTACTCCTCTGAACAGCAGGTGTGTCTCACATGACGGGGACCCCCCCTCTCTCTCGTGCGTCTCTCTGTCCTGGCTCTCCATCCCGTGTCGGCCCATCTGCAGGAGCTTTTTTTCGGAAGAAAGCTCGTCAAAGGAAGTTCTTCCTTGTCCCGACCGGACAGCTGGTGGCAGACATCTGGTCCGGGCTTCTCGGCGAGCGAGACCGGGAGTACAACGCCGAGACTGCCCTCAGCTCCGACGCAGCTGAAGTACAAAGACATCCTGAAGGAACAAAGAACATCGCGAGCTCCGTGCAGCCGGATGACACAGCGCGCATGTCGTCGCTCGCAGGGCGTGTCCGCGAGCGCGGTCGCGGGAAACAGGTGAGTGGCGCCATCCTCTGTCATCGTCGGCGAGCCTGCATAGGATGCTAAATTATCAAAAAATAAAAATTAAAAAAATAAAATAAATCTCTGTCATCGTCGCCATAACAATAAGCAACGTGGTAATATCGTCGTCTGATTCCGCATCCACGTTGTGATCTGAACTCTGTACCAAAGGCGCTGGCTGTATATACACGGGCGCCAGTTGTGGGTCTGAATCTCCTAATAGCCACGGGCCTGGCCGCCTGGCACGCCTGTAGCCAGGATTGTGGTTGAATGCTCTATAGGCCAGGGCTGGACAGCCCCGTGGCTGCTATAGCCAGGTTGTGATTTGATCTCTATAGCCAGGGCCTGTTGTGCTGCTGCTATATGCCAGGCAGTTCGTGATTTGATCTCTAAGTCGGCCACCGCGCCAGGGGCCTGCTGAATCACGCCAGCGTCTGTAGCGGATCTATATAGCCAGGGCGCTTGGCTGATAAGGCGAGGTTGTGTCCTGAATGACTCTATAGCTATAGGGATTGAGCTCTCTATAGCCCAGGGCCTGACCGCTATAGCTATGCGGGTGTTTGTTGAACGTTTAGTCGGATAATAGGTATTGATCGGCCGACAGATTTACGGTGGCTTTGCGTCTTAATTATGATTCCGAAAGGATCCCGGTCAGTGAAGACAGCCACTGCTGCCTGCTATTGTAGCAGATTCTGGGATTTAAAAGCAATATTTGAAATTGCATTCATATTGAATATCTTACAATTGTGTTTGGTAAAAGAGCCGCGTTTAACAGCTCACTGCTGCTGTGCGGTTTTGACTGTGGCCGCCCTTGTTTTCTCTCTTGCCGGCCTTTGGCCTGTTATTTTAATCATATTTCAAAGCAGTGAGGATTTCCTGTTGATATCATGTCCTCGGAAATGGGTCAGTGGTGTAAAACCCCATCGGTAAATAATCGAGTTTTATCTTGGGGTTTTCCCGCATTCGGAAGCCATTTGTCTAATATATATAAAAAAATTGTATCCTTAAGATAACCTATTTTTAGGAAGCTTTTAGCTTGTAATGCAATGTGTGTTTGTGTTTTTTTTTGTATCTAGCCTCCTAGGTTAGCGAGCTACATGAGAAACAACAGCATTATCTCTACTGGCAGTGGGTCAGTTCACGATGAAGATGATGACGATTCTGAGATGGAAGAATACGAGGATTACATCATCGATAGCAGTAAGAAAAACATTCTAGTAAATCCAAGGTCAGAACGGCAGTTGTATAGCATGCAGTTAACTGATTCGTGTGCGGATTACCTCACTGGCAGTTCCTATAGCTTCCATTCCACCTAAAACCTCATATTATTCTAAGCTTCGGACTTTTTCCTGAATTTGTGTATCCGGATTTTGTTCCATCCTCTAATGGTGAAAGATTCGTTCGTGTTCATGTCATGTTATCAGGAATGTATAATAACTAGAGATACAGATCGATCGAGATAATAACACCAGCTTCTTATTATTATAATAATTATTTGAATTATTTGAATTATTAATTTTATTAATTATTATTTTTATATATTATTATAAAATTATTGTAATTATTTTTATTTATTTGACCTGATTGTAATATATTTTATTCAGTTTTAAATTAATTAATGAATCTATATCAATAGATAATCTATCAGAATCACTACTTTATTATCCACGGGAGTCCTAGAATATATGGTTATAGTACAACAGGAACAGCCAAACAGCCCCACCCTGATACATCATCTGTGCCATGTTGCGGTGCAACCGCCGAGAACTGAGGAATGGTAATCGGTCCTGGGAGGGGTTCGGACAGCGAGCCCCACCGAGCGAAGAACG